GGCACCTAAAACAAGGGCAGCCTTACAGGACTAAGCCGCAGACAAGGGGTCTGATGCTGACTCTGAAGGTGCCAGAACTGAACTGAATTACAGGATGACCACTTGTTGCCAGAATTGGTTGGTGTCAGAAGCAAAAAAAATCCCTCCCAGTAGGAGGTGTGCAGGAGGCAGCTGATTCTCTCTCACTGATGTTTCTAACTCTCTACCCTTCTCCCTTTCTCTCTGTAAAACATCACTAAAATATATTTTTAAAAATAAATAAATAAAATACAGGACAATTTTCCATTAAAGTTTCCCAAATAAAGGTCCATTTCATCAGATATGCTTGTACATTTGTCAAGCATATTCACTGTATGATAAGCAAGTGAGCACTTCCTAGGGTTTGATATTAGTCCAAAAGCTAAAATTAAATTTTTTCATTTTCTAACAAATATAGAATTTTAAATTACCTATAATGATATGAACAACATAATAAAAAACTACTCCTTCAACATAACATTACTGCACAGTTTTCAAAACTAAACTTGAGTGTGACAGTACCATTTGGGGGAAATTTTCTTCATAGGTTCTACTCATCCAATGTTTTATTTGCAGTTTGCACATACGCATCTCAATATTTAGACAACTATTATTTAACCACCAATTCATACATAATCTACATTGCTGCCAGGAATTTTTATAGCATGGAGTGTGATAGAAGACAGCATGACTAATATCTTCTTGATTTGGAGGCAAGCAAAGGTAGGGAATCATTTAGTTTGCGGCACAAATCCAGTTGGTAGGTTACTGGGAGAAACCTAATGAAGCTTATACTATGCAATGATTTTTCTACCCTGTCACCATCATTCGGGAACATTTGATTCATTTTTTTAAAAATTGAGTTTTAGAGAGGGAGAGACAGAGAAACATCAATTAGTTGTCTCCCATATGCATCCTGACTGGGGATGGAACCCGTAACCTTGGAATGTGCCCTGAGCAGGGATCAAACCTGCAACCCTTCAGTGCACAGGATGACGCTCCAACCAACGGAGCCACACCAGCCAGGGCTGACTCTTTTGCTGTGTTCTTCTTTTTTTTTTTTTTTTTAATATATTTTATTGATTTTTTACAGAGAGAAAGGGAGAGAGATAGAGAGCTAGAAACGTCGATGAGAGAGTAACATTGACCAGCTGCCTCTTGCATACCCCCTACCGGGGATGTGCCCGCAACCAAGGTACATGCCCTTGACTGGAATCGAACCCGGGACCTTTCAGTCCGCAGACCGATGCTCTACCACTGAGCCAAACCGGTGAGCCTTTCGCTGTGTTCTTAGTGACATTACCTAGTCCCTTCACCTCAGCCCAGCTCTGAAGTGCTAGCCCCGCCCCAGCCTCCGGGCCGTGGGGTCCCGAAGAGCGGACACGCACATTACACGCAGCTTCTGTGCTCCGCGTCCCTTCATGTCCGCGTGAACAGCCTCTGGGGCGTGTCCTCCCCTCAGCGTGCTGCTGTGAGGTGCGTGAGGAGTGTCTGCATTTGCTGTTGGGGGGTGTGGCATTGCATGCATATGCAAGAGTATGTCCCGTCACCAAAAGGCATTTCAACTCCTGATACTTTCCCCAGGAATATAAGCATGTAACTCAAGGTAATTACAACAAAAGGGGTTATAATATATTTGAAAATGACAAAAGAAAAACTCAAATATACGCAGCATATATAGGTTCACAATCCCTTATATGCAACTCCAGATCTAAAAATTCCTTAAATATCAAGTTTTTGGTATACTTTCAGTCAGGTCATCTGGAGACAAACCCAGACCTCCACTGTACTGAGTCTCTTTACAGGCTCTTTTAAGTCCTCTTCATGAGCGTAGTCATACATTTTGCTGCAGAAATAGTATGCCTATTATACATCCCACTAGGGAATGTAACTCATATATGATCTATATACCACAGAGCCTTTCCATAGTCAGAAAAACTTGGGCACTCATTGGAACCCGCAGATTTCGGATCAGAGTGTGGGCCTGTGCTCACACAGCTCTGAATGAGACAAAACCTCCCCGGGTGCTCCTGGAGTCAGTGACGAGTGTGCTGTAGACTGGCTCCCCATTACGTCAGCTGAAGGGTGACCCCCACCTCACACCCCTCATGAGCAGCAGCAATGCCGCGCAGCCTGAGGAAAGTGACTGCCTTTATGAAATCACCTTTTCTGCTGACACACAAGCTCTTTAGAAGTAAATGTTAAGTTCTCTAACACCTGATGGTCCTAAGCGCATGCCTTCCACACGCACTGGGCACCCCTCAGTGGTGGGCAGGACGGACCAGGCACACGGGCTCCTGCCGTTCCGGAGCCAATGCTCCAGGGGGAGAAGGAAGACACACAAAACCTCGGAGAGAAGTATCGGGGCTGGGCCCTCTGACAACAAACCAGGATAAAATGAAAAATGATGGGGGTTCAGGTTGGGACGGTGAGGCAAGGCCTCTGCGAAGTGAAATTAAACCCAGAAGTCAAGCGAGGGCCAGGGGAAGGCAGTGCGAGGCCTGGCGGGAAGAAGCCTGTGCTGCCCCGGCTGGGGAGCCGGCCTGGCCAGGGCGGAAGGCGGAGAGCAGTGCAGCCGAGGCAGGCGAGGCCAGCTCCTGCGGGCCAGAGCTGGGAATGTCTTCCGAGGGAGGAGCAGGCCAGCGGAGAAGGGAGGGCTGGTGTAACATGCTCTACCTGCTGCTTTCCAAAGTCCCCTCCACTTGCCACACAGAGATGTAATGCGGACAATATGGAATGTAATCTAATCCTTTCATTAAAAAAAGAAAAAGAAAGAATATCTACTATTTTTTAAAATAATATCTATTATTTTAAAAAAAAATAATTTTAAAAAAAGATATCTCTACTTTCCCCGAAAATAAGACATCCTCCGAAAATAAGACCTAGCGCAACTTTGGGAGAAAAAATTAATATAAGACACTGTCTTATTTCCGGGGAAACAGAGTACCTACTACATTATCACTTCATATCACAAAATGCCCAGAAAGGACTGCAGCTCCTGAAAGGTGTGGCTTTCTAAACCCGTGTCCTGAGCGATTTCCATGCGCGTCAACGCCTTTGGTCAGCTCGTATGAGTCTAATAGTTCCCACAGCCAGCACGTTTAACAACTTCCTTTGTGCCACTATACAGTAGTACGTCTTACTCTGCTAACAAATCTGACAATATAAAGAGAAAATCAGTAATTACTAAAGAAATGAAGAGTTTAAATTGCTGTTAAACACCAAGATATCTCTACTTTCCTGCAATAGCATGGATGGAAGTGGTGAGCATTATGCTAAGCGAAATAAGCCAGTCGGAGAAAGGTATCACATGATCTCACTCATATATGGATACAATGATCAACATAAACTGATGAACAAAAATAGATCCAGAAAGGGGGGGGGGGGGGCCGCGTTAGATATCAACTAAAGGATTTGTCTGCATGCACATTAGCATAACCAATGGACACAGACACTGGGACAGTGGGGGCTTGCCCTTGGGGGTGGGAAGGGGAGTCACTGGGGGGAAAAGGAGACATATGAAAAACTTTAAATAAAAAAAATATTTTTTAAGAAGATATCTCTACTTTCCTAAATATGCCCATACCTAATGAAAGCAATTCATAAACCAAGATCAAAGCCGAGGTTATTGCCCCACTGCAGTTAAAAAGCAACTGCAGCCTATAAACTCCACTTTAATTCCCAAAGATAACAGTAAGCCAAGAAAGTGTGTGTAAGGCATGTGCAAAACAAACAAAAGTCATAGGTGACGTATGCAAGAACAGAAGAACTCCTAGTCATGTTTCCACAAATTCAGAGTTGCTTTTAAAACAAAGAAATGATTAGCTTTCTGAGAAATATGCTTCTGAATTTGTTCTCAAATTACAGAAAAGGTATTTCTGGACTTAATGTAAATTTACTTCAGCACCAGACTATTTCAAGCAGAAAAAAAAATTTTTGTGGATAGTTTCCCTCTGCAGAACCAATCTGAAGCAGCAGCTATCTTATTAAAGCAAAACTTTTATTCCATGGTAAACTGTTTAAAAGTAAACTATATCCTCAAAACTATGGCATGCTCTTACTTGATTACTGAAATCTAAATTCTGTGAAAAGATTAATGCTCTACTTTCTTCAATGTAAAATTCTGCAAGTTAGATCACTTAAATATTACCTTATTTTTAAGCCATTTCATATTATGTAGTCCTAAAAATATTGGTCAATACTTTAAGTGTTTGGCACTTCCCTTTGACAATTACGTACTAATAAGCATGTGCGGTGGGGGGTGTGGGAGGGAGATTTGGGTAGGAGAGGCCGGGGGAGGTTAACGGAGGGGAAAAAGGAGACATATGTACTACTATTTATAATACTTCAAACAATAAAATAAAAATAAAAAAGGATTTGAAGGAACTGAGGAAACTGGGTACTCTCCAATATTAGGAGGATATTCTGAAGAGTTTAATCTGTAGTTTAGATCACAGAACAGAGGTCAAAGACAAAGTTCTTCTGGATATATTTATGGATTTCAACAAACTAGTGACTGCAGGACTCTTCTCAAAGCGAGACTGAAAAATCCAGAAACCACTAATGTGTACAATTTCTCTGGAAAGTTGTAATTCCGTGCTGAAGCAATGAAACGTATAGTAAGTCTATTTACTATATTTACATATAGTAAGTTTATTAAATCCTACTCGGCTCCGCAGTAAACACCCTCGTCATGAAGAACAAACAGCAGCTTAATGAGCTGCTGTGGGATGGATTCGGGGAGGAATACTGCAGCACTCCCTTTCCGTCTCCCAGGCGCCCAGAACTGGGGCAGCATCCTCACCGGGCGGACAAAGCACCCACCAGGAGTCACAGGAGACTAAAGCTGGCTGCTATTCGAAGGCGCCAACAGGAGGCTCCCAGAAACCCTAACTGTGGTTCGGAAACATTTTGAGTTGCACACACTGCAGCGATCTGACAGCCCTTCCTGACCCAGGCCACATGCACCACCGGAAACTCACCTGTGTTATACCCCTTCAGCTGCAAGTCCTTCACAGGCCTGTCATCAGGCGTCCGAAAGGCGTTAAGAATCTGCAAGAACATGGGATTTACAATGAGGATACAAATTGTAATCAAATACTGAAGATTATATTTTCCATCCTGGTTTTTACTCAACATAATTGAAAACTATGATTACTTTATAAATGCACTTTGGCATTCAAAAACCATTGAATGAGTCTAACATAATTACTCAAAAATCCCCCAATATACATTGAGTGGCCAGATTATTATGATCTCTGAACGCACAATAAACTGGCCACTCAGTGTGTGTGTGTGTGTGTGTGCATACACACACACACACATTTCCTCAGAGATGGCCTTCTAACTACCCGATCTAAAACAGTCCTTCCCCATGACTCTCTAAATTACTTTAATTTTCTTCAGAGCACTTATCACTGCCTGAAGTTATCTACGGTACCTTTTGCTTACTTTTTTATTAACCTCAGAGGCAGTAACTTTATAATATTCACTGCTGTTTCACTCAGTGCCTAGCATACAGAATTGCTTACTATCTGAAGTGAGGGGTCCCAGGTTCGATTCCGGACAAGGGCATGTACCTTGGTTGCGGGCACATCCCCAGTGAGGGGTGTGAGGAGGCAGCTGATCGGTGATTCTCTCTCATCGATGTTTCTAACTCTATCTCTCTCTCTTCCTCTCTGTAAAAAAATCAATAAAATAAAATAAAATAAAATAAAAAAATAAAAAAGAGTACCAACTCATAGTATGTTTAAATGAACAAATGCTGTGAGCATCACACAACGCCTGGCACAGAATGAACACTAAGCACAGTTGGCTCTTATCAGGCCTGTGGACTGTGATCGTTTGCCTTAATATTTTTTACAACTCTCCCCTCACTGAGTATGTGCAGAGCTGGTGAAATCTGAAGGAGCTCTGAGATGGCACCAGAGCCAATGTCCTGGGTTAGTATGTACTACTAATACAAGATGCGAACACTGCCAGGAGCTGGGTGAAGAATACCCAAGGATTCCCTGTATATTTTTTTGCACCTTCCTGTGAATCTGTAATTTTTCAAAATACAGTTTAAAAAACATGTTTTAACTGACAAAAAGAAACAATTAAAAGAAAAAGACACTTACCTCTTCTTTTGTGGCATTTTCAGGCACCCCATTTAATCGAATAAGCTTGCTTGCTTTCTCCTCACTTGGGCCAGTCCTATAATCTTGATCCTTGAACCCAGAATAAAAAGTAATTCAGAAATGAATATATGTTAGTACAAAATAAAACCGAACATAAAATTCTGGTACTCAGAACCAAAAATCAAATCACTGCATCACATGAAGCTGTAAAGAAGGTAATTTTTTCTGTGTGCCAAAATCTGATCTCAGATCATTAGAATACACCTGTCCTAACACCAAGGAACCTTGAAAGCGTAAAGCAGAATGTTAAGAGAAACAACATTGAACGGGACTTTGTAATCAGAAAAAACACAAAACATTCTCAAGACTATAATTTTCTTTTGTTGAATGAGAACACAGAAAAACAATTTAAGCCAGATCTATAAACAAATACCAGAACAAAGTAAAAAAGTGTCATCTGAACATACTACTCAGTTCAGAGAAATCTGCATTTTCCATATTCACAAAAGTCACAGCTCCAACTGATCTCTCTTTATTTCAACGTTTTTATCAAGAATTTAACTTTTGAGAAAAAGTCTCCTAATACCAAGGGACCACACTTTGTTATGTCTACTGTCCTGGAATAACTGTCAACCATATCTTCTTTCACTCTTGAAAGTGTCCTAATTTGAACAATAAATTACATGGTCACTCATCTCCAAGAGTCTCAAAAGCTACCATTGGGCTAGCATGTCTTGGGATTACTGTCTAAAATAAAATAACAGAAACCTGAGTAGACATGGGTAAAATCTATTTAAAAAGATAATGCCCTAATCGGCTTTGCTCAGTGGATAGAGCAAACTCGGCCTGCAGACTCAAGGGTCCCAGGTTCGATTCCGGTCAAGGGCACGTACCTTGGTTGAAGGCCCATCCCCAGTAGGGGGTGTATAGGAGGCAGCTGATCAATGTTTCTCTCTCATGGATGTTTCTAACTCTCTATCCCTCTCCCTTCCTCTCTGTAAAAAAATTAACAAAACATATAAAAATAATAATAAAAATGAAAAGATAATATTTTCACTGTCCAACTGCAAACATAACTCTCCTTGCTTAAATTATATGTATGTCAGTTTATATATATAGAAATTCAACATTTAAAAAAAATTCTTTTAATTGATTTTGAGAGAGAGAGAGAGAGAGAGAGAGAGAGAGAGAGAGAGAGAAATATTGACCAGCTGACTCCTACATATCCTCCACCAGGGATTGAGCCCGCAATCTGGGCATGTGCCCTGACCAGGAATTGAACTGGCAACCTCTTGGTTCATAGGTCAGTACTCAACCTAGCCACACCAGCTGGGTGAAATTCAACATTTAATCAATTAATTTAGCTGCAAGAAGATACTTGCAACATTAATATCACCTCCTCGTGTCTCAGAAAGATTCCTGGGTACTTTCTAAATAAATTTAAATAAGTAAATGATCCCAAAACAGCCACAAGGCCTGATTCTGCAAAAGTTGAGAGAATCAACTCACAAAAACAGATATTTTCAAAATAAATTATCCCAAGGCATTTAAATCAGCACCATAAGGAAAATGTTGAACAAACACACATCAAAGCTATGAGTGAGCTGAGGGCAGAGATGCACATTCCACTCCTGATGCACGTTTGCTTTTCAATGGTTATACAGGAGAGGGAGGACTCAGGGTCCTAACGTCACTTCACCCCGCAGAAAAGCCTTATGAAAAAGCAAAAGAGCCATCGCTCCACTCACATACCTGAAGCTCCTGCGGGCCATCTCGAGAAGGTTTGCCCTCTGGAAAAGACTTGCTCTGGCCGTAGCCAAACAGCTGGCCTCCTGGCAGCCTGTGGTCCACGTCGCGGTACTCCATGCTTCTGTAATCTGTGTCCTGCCGGCCAAGAAAGTCCAGGCCACCTTCTTCTTTGAATAAACCAGAACCAGAACTCTGTTTGTCGCCGCCGGAAGGCTGTGCCTTGTCTTGGTCTTGCAGTGGACTCTGGCTGTTCTGGAAGTCTGACGAAGACTCCTGTTCAAAGGCTACCCCTTGTGTTTCTCCTTCTCTCGTTTCTGAATGCTCCAATTCTCCCTTCTGAGTGCCAAAAGCAGACCTTTCTGCTGTGTGGTCAGGTGTGGATTCTTCTCTCTTGTTCACATTCATACCAGAATGTTCTCTGTCTTGTGTAGAGGGTTGAATGTAATCCAATATATTTGGATCCACAGAGGGCATCTCCCTACCCTTAAATTCCATACACGCCCCCACATCCCTGCCCCTAAAGTCCTGATCTGTCCTGGACCGGTGTCTGCCTCTGAAATCTGAATGTGGTGCATCCCTGTCCCTAAAGTCTAGATCACTAGTACCCGAACCTCGGCCTCTGAAGTCCCCCTGTGTTCCGTCTTTGTCCCTGAAGTCCAAATCAGACACGTCTCTATTCCTAAAATCAGAACGAGACTGATCTCTGGTCCTGAAATCCAAATCTGATAAATCCCTTCCCCTAAAATCGGTGTGAGATCCTTCCCGGCCTCGGAAATCTAAGTCATAAGCGCCCCGGCCCCCCCTGAAGTCAGACGGAGGAGCATCCCTACCTCTGAAGTCAACAGTGTGAGCCTCCCTGTCTCTGTAGTTCATGTGAGATGGCTCCCGGCTCCTGTAATCCACAGGAGCCCCACTGCCGCCCCTGTAGTCCAGGGAGGGTCCTTCTCTATCCCGGAAATCCCCAGAATGGATGTCCCTGCCTCTGAAGTCCAGCTGTGCAGAGTCTCTGCTCTGGAAGTCAGATGAAAAATCTCCCCCCCTGAAATCGTGTCCAGACCCCTCCCCTCCTGGATAGTCACCAAGCAGTCCGTCTCTAGCGCCATAGCTGAAAGGGTGCTCCTCTACATTTGCAAAGGGAGGCCCCGAATGCCCCTGGAAATCAAAGGGAAGTGAATCTCTGCCAGGAAAGTTGCCAGAGTGTCTCTCTTGAGCATGACTCTTAAGGGGAGGAGGAGGATAATCCCTGTTCCACCCGGGAGCAAACCTTTCTTCTTGGCTCCCACTGTAGAAACAAAGACAGCGTTACTCATATTGTCCAGAGAGTGTCAAATCTACACACCAGCATATTCTTCTCTAATCACAGCACATTCTTCTGTAAATATATATTTTTTTGGCAGAGTTCTGTAACAAGGTCCTAGATCTGCAGAAACAGCAAGGGTTTGCTATTTTAGGACGAAGTGGTGGAGTAAACTTTTACGCTCCCATTTCAGAACACGAGGAAAGTCAACACAAGGTTTTCAACATGACTGCTGCAGGAAAAGCTTTCACCCAGTCCTGCAACAGGGAAAATCCGCAACACCAGATAAGCTAGCAATGGTGACACGCTACAGAAATTTCCATTTCCTATAGCCAGGGCACTTAGAATTCCGAGATCAACATGATGATTCCTACACATCAGAAAAATCAATGCACTGTAAATGTCTTACAGTAATTGTCAGGAGGTGTCTTCCTCATGGCGGTATACAGGAGGGACATTCCAAAATGTTTGGTTACAGCTACGGCACGGACACCACCCAGTCAGCATGGAGGCAGGGCCCAAGGGAAGGAACACTGGCTGTGAGTGATCAGCAGAGCACCCTGGTGTGTTCCAACTGAGCGCCAGCCCTGGCTGCATCTAACTCCCAGGCCTAGAGTGGCTCCGCCTAGCAGCACTCGCACGGGGCCTGCTTTATCACTACCCAGGGTATCACAGAGGCAGGATGAACCATGCCACCACGCATGGATAGGTGACTAAGCCAAGCCACAGCATCTAGGAGCTGAATGCTGAAAGGGACCTAGTCAGCATTAGGCCTTCAAGTATTATTCACAGGTCCCGAATGAAGCTGATATTCCAGATTCTAATGCTTTATGATAATTTTTCCTGGTAATGAGTATATTTTAAAATAGTATAGTATTAAAGTCATATTCTCAGTTTACAGAACTCAAGCGATAAATGAGAACTAGCCCAATCTTTTATGCTACCCAGTTCTGCCTTTGCCTAACCTCCAGGTCACCTTACTTTAATTTTATTTTTCCCCAGGTCGTTTTACATTGTTTTAGCTTTGATGAAAGTTTAGTGAGCTTAAGTAAACAATTAGGTACCCAGAATTTTCACTTTGAGAACAGGAGGATGTGAAAAGGGAAAACATAAATGATCCGAAAGGTTAAAAATGATCTGAAGGGTTATCTGCTATTTAGCAGTAAAACAAAAATACTAAGAGATCGAGTCCAACTGAGTAGCCCTCTCCTCCCAGAGTATATCGGTTCCACTATCCACCCCTTCTGAACTCAGACCACACCGCTGCACTAGACAGACTCACAAGTCACTTAGTTCAAGAGAAACGGTTACAATGCCAAACCCTCTTTAATAGGAAGTTAACAGCAGCAACTAAACGTTAGAGTTATGCTTATTAATAAATTTTCAGAACATGATAGCTTCCGTGAGCTCCCATTAACATTCGTTATGTCTGTGTGGTTCATCATAAGAGAAGCAAATTTAAATGTTCTTCACAAGTAATACAACTTTACACTAAAGCTAGGACAGTACCACTAACTTGAATGTCTCCTATGTTTAAAACCACTCAAACCCCAATGGTTAGCTTGCAGGAAGATTTAAGGGCAAGTGCTAAAATATCTAAAACCACATGTTTTCTGACGAGAACACACCCAACACTGTCTTTGAATACTGCCCTAAGGATTATCTTGCCCGCTTAAGTTGAGACGATCAAATAGTTCTAGAGTAACCTACTGCATCAGGGTTGTTAGAACTGTATTATACGTAGACTATTCAAGAAACAGTTCCATTAATATAAAGTAGCAGTGATTATGAAAACAATTTTTAGCCAAAACCGGTTTGGTTCACTGGATAGAGCATCTTTCTGTGGACTGAAAGGTCCCTGGTTCGATTCTGGTCAAGGGCATGTACCATGGTTGCAGGGGGTGTAAAAGAGGCAGCTGATCGATGATTCTCTCTCAACGATGTTTCTAACTCTCTCTTCCTCTCCCTAAAAAATCAATAAAATATATTTTTTTAAAAGAAAATAATTTTTAATCCAAGAAAGAAAATTAAGAAGTTGTTAAAATGAAATATAAAATCATTTTCCTGCAAGTACCTTTTAAAAAAATCAAAATAGCCCCCAGCGCCTTGGCGGAGCAGGGAGGGTGTGCGCCTGCGGGGCCCGGGGACCTGGGTTCGATCCCATTCTCTTCCCCTCTCCCGCCCCTCCCCCGTCAGTAAAAATAATTTAAATAATTCAAAAAGGGGGGGGAATATAAAATAAATAAAGAGAGTTGTGCCCAGGTTGCGGGCTCGATTCAAATAAAAAAATCAAAATAGTCAACCCAAAAGATACACTATATAAATTATGTCTCCCTTCTAGTCAAAGATCTTTAAAAAAGCATGTAATAGCCCAGCATGCATGGCTCAGTGAACCAGGAGGTCATGGTTCGATTCCTGGTCAGGGCATATGCTCTGGTTGTGGGCCCAGTGTGGGATGTGCAGGAGGCAGCCGATCAATGATTGTTTCATCACTGATGTTTCTCTCTCTCTCTCTCCCTTCCTCTCTGAAATCAACTTAAAGATATATATTTTTAAAAAGCATGTAATGACTTATAGTTAAACTAAAATTAAGGTGAGGAAATATAAATGATAAATTGGTCAAAGAAAAAAAATGTTCTGAAAATTTTAGAAAGTTAGGCAATAGAGCTAAAGTTACCTAACATTTCTGATGGCTTACCTAAATCATCAAAATGGGTTAATTCTGTAAGAAACAGCCTTAGTTGTAAAATAATCATCCATAAATGTAAATGAAATTATGAAACACAAAACACGACATGCTGGATATTCAATCTCAGAATCATTTCAGAAATGACTAAAAATTTTTAATGTCTTTATTTTTTAAAAGCCAGAGCTATTTCTACACACACAAAAATACCCCCATTTATGATAGCCCAAAATAATGTAATACTGTATCATTATAATATTAACCATGTCAATACTCATTATTTTAAGACTTACCGAAAAGGCCGTGTTCTGTTAGCAGATCGAGAGTCCCCCCACATCTCTGAGTCCAGAGGGCCCAATGAGCAGATCCTCTTTTGCTACCGAACGCTGGTTAGAGCAGCACCTGTACAAACAAGCCCCAAAGCAGGAGCACATTAGAATACGAAGCAAAGGCTGAACAGTTTCTCCTGCTCACCTGATGAGGGCCCACATCAGCAGGGATAATTCTGGAAGTCACTTTTAAACATTCACTTATTAACTTATAACGAAAATATATTTTTAAAATTAGAAATGCATATTCCAGGCCACTACAAACTTCTCGGTGTACTGACAATGCTTCACGTTTATAAATATTGACTATTTTTCTAGCAGCCATTCTAGAAACAGCATCTTTTTTTTTAATATTTTTTAAAAATATTTTAAATATTGATTTTTCACAGAGAGGAAGAGAGAGGGAGAGAGTTAGAAACATCGATGAGAGAGAATCATCGATCAATTGCCTCTTGCACACCCCCTACTGGGGATGTGCCTGCAACCAAGATACATGCCCTTGCCCGGAATCGAACCCGGGACCTTTCAGTCTGCAGGCTGACGCTCTATCCACTGAGCCAAACCGGTCCCGGCTAGAAACAGCATCTTAATTAGCATGAACACCAGTCCTACGCCATGGCCGCCCTCACCACAGTGACACTTTGAAGATGGGCAGAGAAGTCATCAGCAGAACTTTGCTGCAGCTACTAAAAAAGAGGCACTTTCATGACCTTGGATTTGGCATCAAAGGTACAAAAGACAAAACAAATGAAGGACACTTCATCAATTTTAAACACTTTAGTGCATCAAGGTACACAATCAAGAGGGTGAAACTATAACCTGCAGCTCAGTAAAATGACAGACGAAGGAGTTCCCCCCCAAAAGCAGTAATTGTCTGAGTCAACTTCGATGGAGCATGAGAAAACAACCAAAGGTTTATAACAAGGAAGCAGATGCTCATTCAAAAAAAGGCCATCTTCAAAATAACAGGAAAGTTGTGTCTTTCCTCATCCCTGCCCCACCCCCTCTCACATGGCAGTGGTTTTAGCCCTGAAGAAGTGGCAGCCCAGTTCCCAGCTTCCTCCATCAAAAGGAAAGGAAACCCGATTTGCAAATGATTGTGTACATCTGTTCTCACCTATCTGAGGGATATCTGAAGGACTGATGCAAGGTGCTTGTTTCTATTTTACCTAACACAGAACTCCGTGAGGGTGGGAGGGAGGGGGGAAGCAGCAGGCATTGCTAATAAAAGCTGCAAAGCAAACTACAGATTCACACTAGAGGCCCAGGGCATGAAATGCATGCACAGGTAGGGTCCCTAGGCTTGGCTGGCGATCAGGGCCAATCTGTGGGGTGACTGGTGGGGCAACCCGGGAGCCCTCCACTGGCACCCGCCTTGGCTGGTCTGGGGACTGCCAGCTGGGGACAGCTCCTGTGTTGAGCCTCTGTGCCCTGGTGGTCAGTGCGTGTCATAGCAACCTGTCATTCCATTTGGGGTTCTGCCATTCAGTCAATTTGCATATTACACTTTTATTATATAGGATTTTAAAATATATATATATTTTATTGATTTTTACAGAGAGGAAGGAATAGGGATAGAGAGTTAGAAACATCAATGAGAGAGGAACATAGATCAGCTGCCTCCTTGCACACTCCCTACTGGGGATGTGCCCGCAACCAAGGTACATGCCCTTGACTGGGATTGAAACCAGGACCCTTGAGTCCGCGGGCCGACGCTCTATCCACTGAGCCAAACCGGTTTTGGCTATATAGGATTTTTAGAGAATTTGGTGTGAAAAGACATTGGGAAATAAGGACACTTCAAGGCAACATGTATACGGAAAAATTTAGAGAGCCACACGCATACATGAGACAAGACTTGAGCAGCTTTCACCTGGCTCTCCATGGGCCAGAGAAAGCCCAGCCAGGTGCTGAAGGAGTGCCCATTATAAAACCACGCTGCAGAAGCAGAGGGGAGTTCATTTTCTGCTTTTCTCTTTTTTGTTTGGTGGTGTGGTTTGTTTGAACTCCTGGCATTCAAGGAAATCCTTCTTAAAATATTATTGTAGATGAACAAGTGCTTACAAAAAAGAAAAGCAGCCCAGTGGTGTGGCTCACTGCTTAAACCAAGAGGTTGCCGGTTCAATCCCTGGTCATGGCACATGCGTAGGGCCCTATTACATTAGAGTGACTGCAGTGTGCAGCAGCTTTGTTCCAATTTTTTCCAAACTAAATGCTTTGGGCCCCAAAGGGCACTCAGTTAAAAACCTAAACAAGGCCCGAAAGGTAAAGATTGGATTGAACACCTAGCCAACTAAGACATTTACTTACTTATTTACTTACTTATTTAATTAATTTATTTATTTGAGAGAAGAAGGGAGAGAGCAGGAAGGTTGATGATTCTTGTCAGAACACATACAAGAATCAACCAATGAGCCCTAGCCAGTTTGGCTCATTACTAGAGCGTCAGCCTGAGGACTGAAGGGTGCTGGATTCGATTCCAGTCAAGGACATATACCCGGGGTTGCAGGCTCAATCTCCAGTAGGGAGCATGCAGCTGATCAGTGATTCTCTCTCATCATTGATGTTTCTATCTCTCTCTCCCTCTTTTCTCTCTGAAATCAATATATATATATATATATATATATATTAAAAAAGAATTAACTAGCCGAAACCGGTTTGGCTCAGTGGATAGAGCGTCGGCCTGCGGACTGAAGGGTCCCAGGTTCGATTCCGGTCAAGGGCATGTACATTGGTTGCGGGCACATCCTAGTAGGGTTAGGGGGTGTGCAGGAGGCAGCTGATCGATGTTTCTCTTTCATCAATGTTTCTAACTCTCTATCCCTCTCCCTCTCTGTAAAAAAACAATCAAATATATTTTAAAGAAAGAAAGAAAGAAAGAAAGAAAGAAAGAAAGAAAGAAAGAAAGAAAGAAACGGGACATGGAAAGTAGAATCAATAAGATCCATTCTTTTTTTAATTATGTATTTTTTAAATTGTTGTAAATACACAGTGTGAAACTTGCTGTTTGCCATTTTTAAGTATACATGTCAGTGGCATGAAGTACATTCACACTGTTGTGCAACCATCACCACCATCCATCCACAGAACTTTTTTCATTTTGTAAAACTAAAACTCCTTCATTAAACTCCCCTTTACCTAGACCTTGGCAACCAAAAATCTATTTTCTGCCTTATGATTTTTTTTAATGTTTTTATTAATTTGAGAGAGAGAGGAAGGGAGAGGGAGAGAGAAAAACATCAATGAGAGAACCATGGATTGGGTGCCACCCAAATGCCCCTTACTGGCGATTAAGTCTGCCACCCAGCAGGGGCCCTAACCAGAAATCAAACCAGCAACCTCCAGGTGCACAAGGCAAGGCTGAGCCACACCAGCCAGGGCTGTCTCTCTGATTTTGACTACCCTAATGTACCTCTCATGATACCAGTGGAATCACGCAATACTGTCCTTCTGTCACGGCTTATTCACTTAGCATATTGTCTTCAAGGTTCATCGATATTGCAGCATCTATTAAAAGCTCATTCCATTTTATTTTTATTTATTTCTGAGAGGAAGCAAAAGGGAGAGAGAGAAACATCGATGAGAGAGAATCATAATCAGCTGCCTCCTGCACGCCCCCTACTGGGGATTGAGCCTGGAAACCCAGGCATGTGCCCCCATGGGGAATGAAATCATGACCTTGAAGTTCATAGCACAACGCTTAACCACTGAGCCCCGCTGGTCAGGCTCCTTTTTAAGATAATACTATATAGTATGTATACACCACATTTGAAAAATATATATTTTATTAATTTTTTACAGAGATGGATAGAGAGTTAGAAATATCGATGAGAGAGAAACATCAGTCAGCTGCTCCTGCACACCCCCTACCGGGGATGTGCCCAAAACCAAGGTACATGCCCTTGACCAGAACAGAACCTGGGACCTTTCAGTCCACAGACCGATGCTCCGTCCACTGAGCCAAACCAGTTTCGGCTATATACCACATTTCATCTATTTATCCACTGATGGCCACCTGGCTACTTCCATCTGTTAGCCATTGTGACTCATATCTGAGTTCCTCACATATATGGTCAAGCGATTTTCAACAAGGGTGCCAAGACCACTCAATGGAGAAAGGACAGGTTTCAACAAATGGTCACAGGAAAACTGGATAGCCACATGCAAAAGAGCGAAGTGGGACCCTCTCCTAACTTCATATACAAAAGTTAAAAGGGGAAACTTCGTGCGTTGGATTTGGCAATGATCTCTTGAATGACACCAAAAATATAGGCAACAAAAGAAAAATGGACAAACTGGACTTCATCAAAGGGCCCTGGCTGGTGTTCGCCATGGTTAGAGCATTGGCCCGCACAGCAAAGGTAGAGGGTTCAATTCCCGGTCAGAAGGAGCACAGGAGGCAACCAATTGATATGTCTCCCTCACAATGATGTTTCTCTCTCTTTCTCCCTCCTTTCTTCCACTCTCTAAAATCCAATGGAAAAAACATCCTTAGGTGAGGATTAATAACAAAAAACAAGCAACAACAAACACAGAGAAATTGACAAGTATTGGCAAAGATGTAGAAAAACTGGAACCCTTATGCATTGGTGATAGGAATGTAAAATGATGCTGCAATTGCTGTGGAAAACAGTATGGCAGTTCCTCAAAACCTAAACAGAATCATCACACGACCCACTCCCAGGTATATATCCAAAGGAAAGGAAAGAGGGACAGGAAGAGGTATCTGGGCGCCCAAAGTCAGAGCTGAATCATTTACAATAGCCACAAAGTGGAGACAACCCAAACGTCTACCAACAAATGAGATAAAACATGGTCCATGGATACCAACAGAGTATTATTCAGCCTTAAAGGAGAATGAAGAGCCCTGACTGGTTTGGCTCGGTGGATAGAGTGTCAGCCTGTGGACTAAAGGGACCCAGGTTCGATTCTGGGCAAGGGCATCTGCCCGGGGTTTCGGGCTCAAACCCCAGTAGGCGGCAGCCAATGAATGATTTTCTCTCATCATTGATGTTTCTATCACTCTCCATCTCCCTTCCTCTCTGAAATCAATAAAAATCTTTTTTTTTTTAATGGTTTTAAATGGTGCCCCAGCTATATGGCTCAGTTGCTGGGAGCGGCACCCCATACACTAAAAAGGTTGTGGGATCAATTTCCCGTCAGGGCACATACCTGTTTCGGGTTCAATCCCCAGTGAGGGAGCATACAGGAAGCAAGTGATCAGTTTCTCTCTCACATTGATGTTTCTCCCCCCGCCCTTCTTCTCTCTCCAGAAAAAAAAATCAAAAATCAATAAACTCATCCTCAGGTGAGGATTAAAATAATGGTTTAAATGGTAAATCTTGCTACTATATATCATAAATTTAAAAAATATTTTAATTGATTTTTAGAGAGAGAGGAAGGGAGAGAGAGAAACATCAGCTGCCTCCTGCATGTCCCCCCACCGAGTGGAGCCCATGACCTCGGTAAGTGCCTGACCAGGAATCAGACCGGAAACGTTTTGGTGCGTGGGACGACATCCAACCAACGGAGCCAGCCGGCCAGGGCTGTCACAACATTGCCAAAAAAAGGAGCAATATAAAAAGCATGACTTACACACCTCAGCACAGCTGTGAGAAAGGTAACAGTGGTGGCTCCCAGGCATCACATCACCTCAGACAATCTGTGAGGTGGCCCCATTGCTTAACCTCACTTCACATCGAGAGGAAACGGAAATCAGGTAATCTGCCAAATGTCACCGAGTTAGCGGAGTCGTCAGGGAACGAACCCTATCGCATTCCAGAGCTCCCACAGTTATGGGGGCTACCCAGGAAGATTCATCCTAAGCCCTTGGCGGTAGCTACAAGAGCCCGTTCAAGACATGACTCACCGTGGTTAGAATTTCAAAACTTTCCCGTAGTTTTCACCTTAATGCAGCTCTGAACTAAGTCATGGCCGCCAGGACAAATGACACCACTGGCAGAAGAATGTGTACCCACTAAGACGGTGGAGTTCATTAGTAACCTCCCCCCAGACAGTTCTCCTCTGGAAGGCTACAAGAACCTGGATACAAAAAGCAACAAAAAAATAAAATAAAATGCATGATTTAAGTATTGGGGGGGGGGGGGTCAACAAAAACCCACACCTGGCAACAGCCTTCTGTGAAGAGGGATGCTGCAGGCGTCCAGAACAGAGACCTGGTGCCTACTCTGCAGGTCAGGCACCTCGCCCGGCGCCAGGGAACGAGGTGAGGTTCAAGTTCAACTTCCTCACCAACACGGCGGGTACCACACCACCCGTGACCGCGGACACTGCCAGTCCTGCCCCGCAGCCCTCGCCATTCGCTGATGCCCACGTGACTGAACCATTCACACGGGTGGCATTACTCAACAGGGGGTGGAAAACAAACCTAGGGCACAATCCAGAGTTCAGAAAACGAACCGGGTGACCAGGCACATGAGTCTACTGGGCTCCAGCGACTGTGACCTTCCCAAGCAAACACCTGGAATGTGCAAAAAACCCACCATTACCCTCACAGGGGACGGACCTACAATGCAAGGCCCTTCCTAGTTAGCAATGCACTCCTGGAGCGGGACACCCGTGCCCAGGCTGGAAGGAAGGCCCCATGTGCAAAGCCAAACGGGATCTAAACCTCCAGAGTGACTGCGAGGGGAAGCCCCGCTCTCCCCACGTTGGTCCAACGGGCGCAGAACCCCCAGCGCACCCCCCGCCGCCGGGTTCCACTGCCCGGGGGGCCGGGGCCGGAGGTCTCGCGCCCGCGGGGTCCCGCCGAGCCCACTCGTGTCCGCCGGGCACAGAGCTCCCTCCGGAGCGGCACCTCAGAGCGGACCCGGATTCCTGCAAAAAGCAGGAGAAGCGAAGGAACACAGGGCCGCCCGCGGCCCCGCAGACGGGGAGCCCGAACCGCAACCACGCGCCAGTCCCCCGACCCGCCAGCCGGCCGCCCCGAGGCCGGACCGGTAATCCCACCGCCCGCCGGGCCGCCCCTGGCCCGCCACCGTTCCGGGGCGTTCCTCCGGGGCGGCGCCTCCCTCCCCACCCCGCATCGGCTCCGTCTCTTCAGCCAGCCGCGCCGCCCCGCGACACCGAAGCCGCAGCTTCCAGGCCGCGCGGGCCTCGACGTCCGGGGCGGCCTGGCAGGCCGGCCTCCTCCCCTCAGGCCCCGGCGCGTCCAGCCTCCCGGCCCCCGGTCCTCACCGAGGCAGCGCGGCCTCCGCGGCCCACTCCTCCTACTCCTCAGCCGCCGCCGCCGACCCGGTGTCGCGGAGACCGGAACTTCCTCCGCGCCGGCCGCTGCCTCCACAAAGGCGCCGCCGCCGCCCGCAGCGCTCGGCCTGCCGGGAGATGGAGTAGAGCGGCGGGGCGCGCCGAGTCCCCTCCCGCCGTGCCCCGCGCAAGGGGGCGGGGCAGGCGTGTCTGAGGGGGCGGGGCGTAAGGCCACGCTGCTTGTCGGCGTCCAATGGGAGGGCACGCTTTCCCGCCGCTGCGCGTCAGGCCCGCGGGGTGTGTGGCTTGGCTTCCTGCTAACCGCCACTTGCCCTCAGGCTGCCAGGTGTGCTCCAGGCGGGAGCTAGGATACCAACCTGGTCCTTATCGACCGAGGCTGCCTTTTTTTTTTTAATATGTATATTTTATTGATTTTTTACAGAGAGGAATGGAGAGGGAGAGAGTTAGAAACATCGATGAGAATTGATTAGTTGCCTCCTGCACACCCCCCACTGGGGATGTGCCCAAAACCAAGGTACACGTCCTTGATGGGACTCTTGAGTCCACCAGCCGGCCCTCTATCCACTGAGCCAAACCGGCCAGGGCAAGGCTGCCTTCTTGTGAAGGGAAAGAAAGGGAGCCCGAGCCCGAGAATAGAGTTAGAGAAGCAGTAGTCACGTGGGTTCGTCCCTCTTTCCTGCTGGGGTTCCCCAGTTAGGCATCCCCGGCCCAGAAATACCAGACTGTGTTAGCTGGGTTTAAGGTTCAGGGGCCCGCCCTGCCTCTGGAGGACAATCAGCCCAGCTTGCACTGGACCAGGCTAGTTCTCAGCCATAAATCTGGCTGAGAGTGACCTGCGTGAGGTCACACGGAAACTAGAAGCTATCTGCAAATCAGCAATCTAGTGGAAAACGGGAATCACAGTTGTAGCTAATGCTCTTCAAGACGGATGGTCCGTACCTGAAATGCTTGCTGATTCCAGCCACCTGGTGTCCCTGTCAGTGGATCCTGAGAGAAAGAAGCCTGGTTTTATAGCCTAAATTCAATTTCCTGGGATGGAAGTCTATTCCAAGAAAAACCTATAAAGCATTCTCAAATCAAGCCTTATCTGTAGAGAAAGGAGGTGGTTGGGTTAAGCAGTATTGAAAGTTACTTCCCACTTCTCAGGTATCTTGTCTGCAAGCCAGTTCTTCATTCAAGAATTTGCTGAAACTGGTTTGGCTCAGTGGTAGAGCGTTGGTCTGCGGAGTGAAAGGTCCCAGGTTCGATTCCCGTCAAGGGCATGTAAGTTGGTTGCGGGCACATCCCCAGTAGGGGGTGCGCAAGAGGCAGCTAGTCGATGTTTCTCTCTCATCGACGTTTCTAGCTCTCTATCTCTCTCCTTTTCTCTCTGTAAAAAATCAATAAAATATATTAAAAAAAAAAAAAAGAATTGTATGAAGTACCTACCATCTGCCAAGCACTGTATCAGGTGCTGGAGATACAGGGGAAAAGCAAAGCTTACAAAAGTTCTTCCCTAGCCGGTTTGGCTCAGTGGACAGAGCATCAGCCTACGGACTGAAGGGTCTCAGGTTCAATTCCAGTCAAGGGCACATGCCCGGGTTGCAGGTCAATCCCCAGTGGGGAACGTACAGGAGGCAGCCAATCAATGATTCTCTCTCATCATTGATGTTTCTCTCTCTTTCTCTCCATCTCAGAAATCAATTTTTAAAAATACTTATAAAAAACTTTAAAAATAGCAGAGATGCAGATGAGGGTGGTTATTAAACAAGAAATACAACTTCTGCTGAAATGAGTTTGGTTTCTGTAAGAAGGGAGATGAAAAGCTGTTGGGCGGCTCTAAATCTATAATAATAATAATAATAATAATAATAATAATAAAAAAGGGTAACATGATAAGTAGACCAGATGTCCTTCCTGAGAAAGCCGAGGCTGGAGGGAAGCCCGAGTCCCAGGGACCAGAAGGAAGCCGGTGCCGGCAGCCAGGGAAGGAAGGCCTCCTCTTGCACAAATGTTCATGCATTGGACCACTAGTAGAATAACAGACTTGCCCTCCGTGCCAATAGGATCCTTCCGGCTGCTGTGTGGAGAATAGGCTGAAGGTAGGAAGGTCGGAAGCAGGGCGTCCAGTTAGGAGACTTGTGATAATATAACCATAACAGGATGGTACTTGTGTGGTCACAGTGGTCACTGGAGGCAGCTAGGATAAGGAAAGAGAGGGCAGAATGTGGGAGGGGCAATTTTGGTAGAAAGAGCAGGAGTCAGTTGGGAGTCTTACATGCCTAGTTGTCAGTTGGATACATCAGCCTGGAGTTCAGGGTAAAGGTCAGAGTTAGAGAGGCAATTCTGGGCGGTATCAACGTAGCTAGTGCTGGTATCTAAAGCCCTGGGCTTGGATGAGAAGGCCGAAGCAATAAGGGAGTGAGTGTGCACTGATAGGTCAGAGTTCCAGCCCTGGGCCCTGGGGCACACCGGCACTAAAGAGGTCCCAGAGAAGAGGAGGGACAGCTAAAAATACTGTAGGTAGCCGCAACCGGTTTGGCTGAGTGGATAGAGCATCGGCCTATGGACTGAAAGGTCCCGGTTTGATTCCAGTCCAGGGCATGCGCCTTGGTTGAGGGCACATCCCCAGTGAGGGGTGTGCAGGTGATCCATGTTTCTCTCTCATCGATGTTTCTAGCTCTCTATCCCTCTTCCTCTCTGTAAAAAGTCAATAAAATATATTTTTAAAAAAGAAGAACTGTGGGTACTTTGACTTTCCTTCCCAAACTGGGCCATCTTTATTTATTTTTTTTAAAATATATTTTATTGATTTTGTACAGAGAGGAAGGGAGAGAGAGAGCTAGAAACATCGATGAGAGTCATCGATCAGCTGCCTCTTGCACACCCCCCACTGGGGATGTGCCCGCAACCAAGGTAAATGCCCTTGACCGGAACTGAACCCGGGACCCTTCAGTCCCCAAGCCGACACTCTATCCATTGAGCCAAACCGGTTTCGGCAACTGGGCCATCTTTAAATAAATATATTTTGTTTTTTACCTACATGATTGCTTTTTTCATATATATTTCATATACATATGAAAAAAAGCAGTCATGTAACTAAAAACAAAACATATATATACATATACATATACATATACATATATATATACTATATATATATATTAGTAATTTCAAGGAGGAAGGGAAAGGGAGGGAGAGATAGAAACATCAGTGATGAGAGAGATTCATTGATTTGCTGACTCCTGCACTGCCCCTCACCAGGGATTGAGCCTGCAACCCAGGCACCTTTTTTCGGTTCAGGAAATGTTTCTGTACCAAATCAGAGAAGGTGAGGTCTTCTTGGCTTACACTCTCATAATGAAACTGGTGGGACTTTATGAGAACGAAACTATACAAATGTGATATATATATATATATATATATATTTCCTGTAAGGGAGGGAGCCTGGACACCCCAGCTGGTGAAGAGAGAGAATAGGGAATGACTTTGGAGACCTGAGAGGCTCCTCCTCCCTCCTGTCTCCTTTCCTGGGAATCTTTCAGGAGCTGGGCCACAGCTTTGTCATCACCATGTGACCACAGGCCAGGGCTGTGGAGGGAGGCTGCAGAGAGGCAGACTCTGAGACCACAGGACAAGCTCAGGGCAGGGCACGGCTCTAGGACCTTGACCATCGAGGGGAATCAAAGGTGACTTCAGACTCTTCCTGCACCCAGAACTGTCGGGGCGTGAACTACGGAGCTGTAAATCGATGTAACTGCTTCGGAGAACACAGGAGCAGTATTGTTGTTAATCCCTAGTTCTACATCTTTCAACTGTTCTCCAAAAATAAAACTGTTTGGGGAAGCTTTACGTGTTCCTGTCTTTATTGCTTTGCATCTAGGAAAGTACAGATTCTGTAGCAGTTCCTTGCCCTGGCCGATCACCTGGGAAGCTTTTAAAAAGATGCTCTCGCGAGAGTCTTATCCCAATTCAATCAAATCACATTCTCTAGGGGTGGTGTCCAGGCAGTGTTTTGTGTTGTTGTGTGTTTTTTTTCCATTATAATTTATTGATTGGAGAGCGAGAGGAACATTGATTTGTTGTTCTACTTACATATGCATTCATTGTTTGATTCTTGTCTAGTCTGGACCTGGGCTGGACCGGCGTCTGATGCTAAGCCCAGCCCCTCAGGGCTGGCATCAGGGCTTTGTTTGTTTAAGTTCCCCAGGCCCCTCTATGTGCAGTCAGATTTGAGAATTATTGTTTCGAGCCTCTTCGTATAGCATTAAAACGTGGCTAAAAATCGGGACTTTTTTAAAACGCCGCGGGACAAATTGTTAAAAATCGAGGCTGTCCCGCCAAAAGCTGGACGTCTGGTCACCTTAGGCTAAAAGGAAGTTCTCCTGAGCAACAACTGAAGTGCTTCCCTCCCTTACCGCAAACTAAAGCCGTTTATACCCTCTCCGGGCCCCGGCCCTCCCACAGCCAGAGCAGCGCCCCCGCCTCTGCTTCCCGACAGGCGCCTCCGGGGCGCGGGGCCGGGGCCGGGGCCGGGGCCGGAGCCGGGGCCGGGTCTCCGGTCCACGCGGGACCGGGACTTCGGGGAAGCGCTGGGCATCCCGCCCCTCCCCGATCCCGCCCGGCCGGGCTCCGCGGACACCGGACGCCCCGCCCCCGGCCCGGGCGCCGCGCTGCGGACTCCATTTCCCATCATGCAGCCGGCGGCGGGCAGGGTCGGGCCGGGAGGCTGGAGCCGGGCCTCGGCGGGGCGAGGCGGGCGCGGGCAGCTTCCTGGGCCGGCGGCCGGGCGGCGGCGGGGCGGGCGGGCGAGGGCCGGGGGCGGCGGGCGGCGCCGGGGCCATGTCGGTGTCCGCAGGGCGTCGTGGCCCCGCGATCCTGCGCTCTCAGGCCCGGCCCGGCCCGATCGCGGCGCCCTCCCGGGGGCCCGGCAGAGGGCAGTGACCGGCGGGTAGTGACGGGCGGTCAGTGGGTCCCGGGGCCCCGCGGACAGAGGTAGGTCCGACTGCCAACCACGTGGCCGGGGGCCGGGAGCCGGGCGAGCTGTCATCCTGGGGGAGGGGCCTGCGGCGGGCGGGGAGGGGGTCCTGCCCGCTGCGCTGCCCGGGGCGGTAGGAGGGCAGGTTCTGTCCGGTCCCTTAGCCCGTGGGTCC